CCCCAAAACCCCAAAACCCCAAAACCCCACTCATTATAATTCTTGAAATATTGAAGATTAAAAAGAAAATTAATAATAGAAACATTTGAAAATGGACTAGAGATAAAATATACAAATTTCAGGGAAACCAGGAATGAACATGATTGAAATCGTTAAAGACTATGTTGATAACATGTTGAGCGAAGTATAAGGTAGAAAAGCTCTAATCCTTGATAAAGAAACATTAAGTACTACTTACCTTCTTTTACAAATTTAGCCATTGTTTCATTGGTTTACAGTCGAACTTAAATCCTTTAAAAAGAGGTTTTCTTCATTGAGACTATAGAAAACATTCCCGCAGAGAAGTTAACTCATCTTAAAGCCATATTTTTCTGCAGATGCAGTGAAGACATTATCAATAAGATATGCATAGAACTTTAAGAGCCTAAATTTGCATCTTACAATCTCTGTAATTACTATTTCGCTAAATTAAGTATAGACTTTTCAAATAGTTTGTTTAACGATAAAATCTAAAAATTGGCTGAGTCAGATATACAAAATGTAGTTAATCAAGTTCAAGAAGTCTATGCTGACTTCTCAATTATTAATGATGATCTCTTCAATTTAAACATTCCATCAGTAATTGGCATGACTGAGCCTTTGCCTAAATGGACTATCAGTGATCAGTAAAACTTTAACAGAATGATTGATGCTTTATACTCTGTAGTTATGGCATCAAGATCAAATCCCTTAATTAGATTTCAAGCAAGATCAGAAATCTGCTTTAAATTAGCTGAAAAACTTTCAGCCAAGCTAAATGATGATGAGGAATTCGTAGCAAGAGTCAGCAAAAACTCTCCATCAACTGTCCTATTGCTTTTAGATAGAAGGGAAGATCCTATCACACCTCTACTTAATCAATGGACTTATTAAGCAATGATTCATGAAATTTTAGGAATAAATAATAACAGAGTAGATATGAAGAGTAGAGTGTAAAATATTCCTGAGGATATGAAGGAAGTTGTAATCTCATGTGAGGACGATAAATTCTTCAGGAATATAATGTATAAAAACTTTGGTGATGTAGCAGAGGACATTCACAACTTAGTATAGTCATTCTTGAAGAATAAGTAAAGCTAAGCTCAATTTACTTCTATTGAAGACATGTAAAGAATCATTGAGAATTTCCCTGAGTTTAAGTAAAGTGAAAGAAACACTACTAAGCATTTCCATATATTAGAGGAACTGAGAAAAGTTGTAGATGGTAGAAAGCTGTATGATTTATCAGAAGTCGAGCAAGACTTGGTGTCTGGGAATGAAAACAAGGCAGGACATTTCAAATCAGTTTCTGATTAAATCAATAACGCAGAGATTAGTAAAATGGAAAAACTAAGAGTTTCATTGATCTTCTGTCTAAGATACGAGAATGATGAGAAAGTTTACAAAGTTAAAGAGATGCTTAAGAAGCAAGGGCTAGCAGATTCTTAGGTAAAGATCATTGATTGCATCATTGAGTATGCTGGTAAGGCTAAAAGAGGAGGTGATTTATTTTAAAATAAGGACTTATTTGCAAGAGGGACAAAGATCTTTAAATCTTATTTCCAGGAGGTGTAAAATGTGCTTTTACAACATAAACCCTCTTTAATGACACATCTTGATAACATATACAAAGGTAAACTACCAGGTCCAGAATTCCCAGCAACAAAAGCAACAGATTTAAAAGAAAAACCACAAAATGTGATTGTATTTATGGTAGGTGGCACGACCTATGAAGAGGCCAAAGAAGTAGCTTTGACATATAATCAACAACAAATTAGAGTTGTTTTAGGTGGTACTTGTATTCATAACATGAAGAGCTTTATTGCCGATGTATCCTAAATTTCGCTAATGAAAGGACCAATGCAGAGTTTCGAGATTGAAAATCCATGATCTTATGTTGTCCTTAAATTAATTGCTAAATGAAGTTGATGATTAACATAATATGTGGAATTATATTGAATTAGTTAAGCATCTTAAATTTAGAATTATTTTAATAATATATTAGAATATGAAATTGTAAAAACTCTTTCCTCTTACCCTCAAAAAATCTTACAATCCCCATCATCTTTTTTCTTGGGCTTTTTAACTTTTTCCTTCTTATTAGTTTTTTAAGACTTTGTATCTAATTCCAGATTAGTTTTTAATAATTCTGTGGCTCTAACAGATTTTTGAGTAGACAAAATTCTATTTGAGCTAGCATCTCTGTCTCTTTGGGTTTTATTAAGATAAGACTACTTAAGTTTTCCAAAATTAGAACTTTCATTTCGAATTTTCATGGTATCATTTTAGCTTATATTACTAATGGTATTATGCATTTTACTCGCTAGTGCTTCAAGCTTATATCCATTCTTATAGTAAACTATAAAACACTCCCCGTTAGTAAAAGTTTCTCTCCCTCTACCATGCATCTTATTATTACTCCAACCACCTTCATAAAGCTTGTCATCGTTAGTCTTAAAGATCCCCTATCCCTCTCTAATCCCTTTTCTGTGCTCACCTTTGTACTTATTTCCTGAAAGATCATAGGTAAATCCTAGCCCGTCTCTACTGCCCTTAACAAACATGCCTTAATAGCAAAATCCATTTTTAAATAGCATAGTTCCAAGACCATGCATTTAACCCTAATGTATCTGACCAAAGTATACATAACTATCATATGCTCCCTTAACTCTGTCGATTCTTTCAACTAAATTTATTATTAAACAAATTACTTACATGCTGTTTTGATATCAGGATTCTAGTTCTCATCTAGCAGAATATTGTAATCATTCGATAAGCCTATAGAATCTATCTCCTTTAGAACAAGGTTAAGATTGTCTTTTAGCTTAGACAGCTTTTCCTTTAGTTTATCCTAACCTAGTAGATACTTTCTTTAAGCTGCTTTTGCTAGCAATTCATTAATTCTATTTTCAGCAACCAAGCTATCAAACTGACTTTTATATTCATCCCTCATTGCAAAGTCCATTACATTTTAGAACATACTCATCATGTTCCTCATTCTTAAACAGATATCACTCTTTATCTAATCATATGATGTGAAGGAATTATTGTTTTGCAAGTTCTTGAGATAACTTCTCATGTCTCGCTTAGTAATCTGCATCTCCTTCCTTCTCAAGAATAGTTCATTGAAATTCTGTGAATCTAGAAGCTATGTGAACTCTTAACGCTACTTATCCCATTTGGAATAATCTTTATCAATGCTTTCTACAATTTCTTCCTAGACATGCATCATCATGTGAGTGACGAATTTGTGCATTTTGAGCATTATGCTTTTTAACTCTCTCTTGAACATGCTTTCTTTTTTCATCAGTTCATCTCTCTTGTTAAATCTGTAATCTTCAATGTCAAGGAACACTTGTGTATATTATTCGAGAGTTTCCTTCGCATATTATTCAATCTCTGTTATTCTGTGATGGGAAAGATTTGAGGACAGATCTTTATCCTTTCTGCTTGGAGTGCTATTCTGATGATTTAAGATGCATTTTGAACAGATTGGAGCATGGCATCCTTTACAGTAATGCTTGCATTGGTTTTGATGAATAAGGCATTTCAATGAGGATGTAGGATCACCGATAAATGTAAAATATTTTAGTGCTTGCTACTATTCAAGAGATAACTCTGTTTCCATTTTATTAGATTATTGTGAATCAAGTATTACTTATTTAAAGCCTAAATTTTATAATTGTTATATCCAAATTATTATAATAAAATCTTGCTACCGGGGTTTTGGGGTTTTGGGGTTTTGGGG